CTGCAGCTCTTCTCTCTCCCCATCACCTCTCTGGCCCTTCTCAGTCTCCTGGTTAACTGCAGCTAGGGATCCCATTTTCTGCATCACTGAGAGAATATCCCACTGCCTTGCTCAGGATAGTTAAAAAGTGGTAAACACCTGTCTCTTCTCTTAGACTCAAAGTTCTGTGGCTCACAGCCTCTCAGCCCTGCAGCATCGTGGAAGTGGAGGTATGGTGCCCCATTTAGTGCAGTGGGCAAAATAGAGTGTAGTAGTGACTGTGCCTTACTTCCAGATCCTGATGAGAGCTCCGTCTGTGTTTCAGTTCCTGCCAGTCTATCAGCCCAGCCCCGAGGAGAGTAAGGACCCCACCCTTTATGCCAACAATGTGCAGAGAGTCATGGCACAGTGAGTATTACAAGTATTTCCTGGTGTTCAACAAAGTATTTCCTGGAGCAGTTATGCAGAGCAGAGGAACCACAGCAGGGGCAGGAGGTTTGAGGCCAAGATAAGGGCTAGTGGGGAAGGACTTTATGACAGCTGAGGCTAAGGAGAGAAAAGATGAAGGAGACTGGCCATGTCAGTCAGACAGTGTAATGAAACCTCAGAAATCTCTGGTGCTGCCTTCCCTTGATCTCCATCCCTCTTTGTCCTTTAGGGCCCTGGGCATTCCAGCCACCGAATGTGAGTTTGTGGGGAGCTTACCTGTGATTGTGGTGGGCCAGCTGAAAGTTGCTTTGGAGCCACGGCTCTGGGAACTGGGAAAGGTGCTACAGAAGGCTGGGTAAGTTACCTTGAAGATAAGGGTATGAGCAGGGCCCCAGGTAGAAAATTAGAAAAGGGATGATAAGGGAAGGAAGAGGTTCCATGCTAGGTTTGATCCTCAGTACAAGGGGAGCGGGGCAGTAGATGAATCCACCCTGGGAGCTGAGTGCTGGGGGCAAGGTTATGCTTGGCATATCCAGAAGGAAACCAAGTCAGCTCACTGTTGTCAATAATTCCATCATAGGCTGTCCCCTGGCTACATGGACATGGGGGCAGAGCCAGGCCGGAGTCGAATGATCAGCCAAGAGGCATTTGCCCAGCAGCTACAGCTCTCAGATCCTCAGACAGTGGCTGGAGCCTTCAGTTACTTCCAGCAGGTAATGGCGCTAGAACCCAGGTGCTTGTTGGCTTGCCCTCTGAGCCAATAAGCTTGGGATTTAGAGATGATGTTCTAGTGAGAATGTCAGTTTTGGCAAACTGTATTTCCAGAACTATAACCAAGTACCCCGTCAAATCGTAACTCTAGTTTGTTTGCTCGATTGCAGGTCTGTTGTGCATAGTCTAACACACCTTGTAAATGACCAGCTACAAAATGTGCTGGGACATAACTTTTCTTTTCTGTGCGGAGTATCCAGTGCACAGAGGGAACAATGTTGTAGTCACAGGAAGAACAAAAGACAAACTCCATCAGGAGAGCCTAGAGTCACTGTAGAGATTGGCAAAGATGGGGAATTATGACTGTGAGGGACACTGGGTGAAGACCTTCACAGAAAGGTGATGAAGGTTAGGTGGAAGGAGAAGGTGGGGAAGAAACTGATTAGGTTAGGCAGTTGAGAATTTGAGGCCCTTGATTGCTGCAATGTGGAGGCAGGTTCTTTTCCAACATCCTCTGGCCTTCCTAGAGAATTCCTGAACTAACTCAAGAATTTTAGCAAACTTTATTTCCAGAAATATAATCAAGTATCTGGTCAAATTACAATTCTAATTTGTATTTTCTTTTTAAGTGCTAAGGACAGACGGGGTTTTTCTGCTAGTCAGGAATACCTTAGCTATTCCCCTAGCCTCTCAAAGGGATTTGTTTGTGCCAAGACACAGACTATGGATGGGGTCTCAGTATCCTCAACACTCTAGGAGACAGAAGCAAAAGGATCATACATTTAAGGCCAACCTAGGTGCTTAGTTAGACACAGTCTCAATTTAAAATAATAATAATAATTGTGCTGGGCATTGGTGGCTCACACCTTTAATCCCAGCACTTGGGAGGCAGAGGCAGGTGGATCTCTGTGAGTTGGAGGCCAACCTGGTCTACAGCAAGAGTTCTAGGACAACCTCCAAAGCAATACAGAGAAACCCTGTCTCGAAAAACTAATAATAATAATAATAATAATAATTTAAGTATTGAGCATACATGGATTTCTTAGATTGGGGAGTTTGCCTGTATCTCACCCAACATATACCTGGCATTTTGTTTAAAAAAAAAAAAAAAAATGGCCAGTGTCCCCCTTTAAATCTGTTGGACCAGTTCTCCCACATGGGCTGAGTCAAAGGAAAACCAGTTTGTCTGGCTTGGAAACCAGGGTTGCTCTCCTGTGGTCTGTCAAAACAGGGTGGTAACTTCAGAATTGCTGGGGGATTCCCTGCCTTCCTAGATCTCTGTGGGAGGGCTTTGTTACTACTAGATGGCTTTATGTTACCATGTGACTACAGCCTAAGAACTTCAGGAGTCCTGGGGAGTGTGGTGCTCAGGCCTGAACCAGTGACCACAACCCTCATTTCTAAGCCTGGTTAAGAGAAACCAAAGCTCAGGGGGAAGGAGGAAGATGTATGGTCTCCATGTGGCTCTGGTTTTTCAACCTCCAGGATGCCAAGGGTTTGGTGGACTTCCGAAATGTGGCCCTTGCACTAGCAGCCCTGGATGGTGGCAGAAGCCTGGAGGAGCTGATGTGCCTGGCCTTTGAGGTACCTTGGAGGGACTATGGGACAACTGCTGCCCTTTACCCCACACTTCCATCCCAGGAGGGTGGTATATTTTGCTGTTCTCAGTAGCTTTTAGATGATGTATGGTCAGTACCCAGGAGTACCACACTACCTAAAACTGCCTGTCTGCAGCATCTCCTCCTGAGGCCTAGCCGGACAGAAGGCAGAAGCTAGACATTTTACATTACCCTGAAAGAAAGGGCACTAGAGGTCCGAGAGGGCTCATATGCAGCATTCTTGGAAGACAGGAGCCCATCAGGTAGGCTTTCCAGGCAGCATGAAGCAATGTCTAGAGGAAAGAACTTGACAGGCATCTCTTTCTGTCCCAAGCTCTTTGCTGAAGAACAGGCAGAAGGACCTGACCGCCTGCTGTACAAAGACGGGTTCAGCACCATCCTGCACCTGTTGCTAGGTTCACCCCGCCCTGCTGCCACGACTTTGCATGCCGAGCTTTGCCAGCCTGGATGCAGCCAAGGCCTCTCCCTCTGTGAGTCACTGCCTTCTCTACCCTGTACAGGCCCTGGGGTACCATCAGCACCAGGATATGTTTGGAGCCCTGAGCTGGCAGAGAAAGGGCTAGTGGCCAGTCTTAGGAAGCAGAAGGTGTGAGAGGCAAGGTGGGCGGGAAACAGGCAAGTGAGGAGGAGGGGATGTAGCACTGTATTGAGAAGACAAAACAGATTAGAGGGGCTGGATATACCAGTTCTGAGGAAAGGGAAGGGAGGAGAGGTGTCCTCTTCACACTTAGGTGGCTTTGCTTTTCCTACTCTTCCTGCCTAGGTGAGTTCCAGAACTTCTCCCTCCATGACCCTCTGTATGGAAAGCTTTTCAGTACCTACCTACGCCCCCCACACAAGCCTCGAAGCAACTCCCAGATACCAAATGCCTCATCCCCAAGCAGCCCCACTGCCCTGGCCAACGGGACTGTGCAAGCCCCCAAGCAGAAGGATGACTGAGCACCTGAACACCCCCCCCCCACTC